GGAAAGTACAAACATGCAGGCATCTTCGGCAGGGAAGGGAAAAGAGGCTCACCTTCTTTCAGACAACCCATCCCGATACTCTCCCTTCCCGCCCCAGCCGAGTGGAGTGCTGCCCCCCTCCCCTCCCACCACTGCCACCTGCACAGCCACCTGCACAGCCACAGGGGAGGAGCGTGAGGGAGTGGCGGTGTTGACCCCCACGCCCCTCCCCACTGCCTGCAAGGAGGAAACTGAAGACCAGTGAGTAAGCGGCTAGGGGCAGAAACGTGAGAGGCGAGCATGGGTGGGGTGGGTGGGAGTAGAGAGCAGCAGAGGAACCACTGGAGCAGCGCTAGGCACACGGTGCAGACCCAAAGGTAGTGAGGGCTATAGTAAAGGTGTAGTGGTTAGGGTGGGCTTAACCTGGGGGCTGGAGAGGGGGGGGGAATACCTGGTATAGGGGGGTCTGCACCATGTGGGCTTGGCTGCTGCAAGTGGCTTGGTTTGGCGAGAGGAGGCACGCAGCATGGATGGAAAGATGACGTGCAGATGCATGTGAGCGAGCATGTGAGAGAACATGTGAGAGAGAGTGAAAGCAATGAACAAGCGAGATGGAATAGAGAGAGTGTACTCATCTGGTGCGGCTGTGAGTGGCGGTGGCGCCTTGAGCGTTGAGGCTGCAGTGCTGCCGCCAATGAAGCGCCTCACACCACCCAAAGGCGCTGCTGGGAGTGCTGGGAACTCGCCACCAGAGGGGCTGCTGGGGGATGGGCGGAGGGGAGAGTGGGGAGGGGGGAAAGGGGTGGAGGTGGAGAAGAGGGAGAGGAGAGTTGGAGGGGAAGTTAAGTGGAGGTGAGGGATGTATGCAGATGGAAAGGGAGATGTGCAGGCGAGGCAGACAGGAGTAAGAGGAGTGGGGCCACTGGTGGAAAAAGAGGCTCACCTTGTTTCAGACAACCCAGCCCGACACTCTCCCTTCCCTTCCCGCCCCAGCCGAGTGGAGTACTACCCCCTCCCCTCCCACCGTTGCACCTGCACAGCCACAGGGGAGGAGCGTGAGGGAGTGGCGGTGTTGACCCCCACGCCCCTCCCCTCAACCGTCAAGGAGAGAACTGAAGAGAAATGAGTAAGCGGCTGGTGGTTGAAATGTGAGAGGAGTGCATGAGATGGCATGTGGGAGCAGAGAAGGGGGCCACTGGTGCAGCCTCAGCTACAAGCCACAGACCCAAGAGAGGTACCTGCATAGGGAGGCTTACCTGCAGACCTGAGAGAATACCTGCAGTACCTGGGGGAAATTACCCAAGAAAAGGGGTCTGAGGCTTGAAGCTTTGGCCGAACCGGCGGCTTGCATTTTAATGCACAAGCAAAAGAGAAGCAGCAAGGACTGAAGTGGAACGAAAATGAACGCAAGAGGCAGGGCGGGTACTTAGCTGTGGGTGGGTTGGGTGGAGAGCAGCTGCTGCCTGTGCAGTCCATGTTCCCCCGCCACTGCTACTGGCGTGTGAGTGGGCTGCTGGAATGAGAGCGGGCAAATCGGGACAGAAAGAGGAAGGGAGGAGGATGGAGAGAGGACGGAGGTGTGATAAGTGAGAAAAGGAGGGTGATGAGTAAAGAGGCGAAGACAAGTGCTTGAATTGAGTGCGAACGAGTGCAAGAGTGAAGTGTGGATGAATTGACTGCTGCAATGGCACACCCAGGAGACCTCGTACCGGCTAAACCACAAACAAGCAAATACCTGAGGCTGTACCAAAAGTTTTTAACCTGATACCTTGGGGGAGGGAGGTCTCTTGAGTGTGACAGAGAGCAGAAAGACAGGAGTTGGATGCATTGTGCAAGCAAGACATGAAGAGCAAGAGAGTGCGAGAGCTGGGAGTAAAGAGGCAGGGCAGGTACTTAGCTGTGGGTGGGTTGGGTGGAGAGCAGCTGCTGCCTGTGCACTCCATGTCCCCCGCCACTGCCACTCCCGTGTGAGCGACCTGCTGGGACGAGAGGGGCCAGCTAGGGAGAAAGACAAGACGGGCGGAGGGGGAGGAGAGGACGGGGGTTAGAAATGGGAGCAGAGGAGTGAGGGCAATGAGGAAAGAGGCCAAGACGGGGGGATTGAGGTGAGAAGGAAGAGTGCAGCAAGTTCAACAATGACACGTGAATGCATGCTCTGCTGTGCTGGCACACCCAAGAGACCTCGTACCAGCTGAATAAGACTAAACGAAACACCTGAGGCTGTACCAAAGTTTTGAACCTGTTACCTTGGGGGAGGGAGGTCTCTTGGGTGGGGCACCGGCACAGGGCAGGAACGGCGCAAGCTTGGATGCAGGGTGCACGCATGAAAAGCAGAGAGCAGCAATGCGCAGAGGGGCAGGGCGCCGGCACTTAGCTGTGGCGAGGGTGAGAGGCGAGTGGAGGCACGGCTGCTGCTGCCTCTGTGCTCCTGTGACCAGGTGCAAGCGCTCTGCTCGCGCGCTCTCCCTGCTGCTTGCGCCTGTGGGACTCTCCCCTCCCCCACTGTCTTGCGTCTCCACTTGCCACTGCTCCTTCCCTGCGCCACACCACACCAACGGTGTCAGCAACTCAACCAGCCAGTGCAAAACGAGAGCAGGAAACGCGGAGCAAGCGAGAGGAAGAGGGAAGCGCGGGGAGTACCTTGCGTGGTGATGGGTGGAGCGCGGACATCCAACAGCGCGTGGCAGAGCAGGATGACGCCCGCTCGTTCTCGGTTCAACATGGTCCACGCCTTGCCCTGCTCGATCTCCTCGTTTTGTCGCTCAGCATGGTGTGTCTGCGAAGCCAGGAAACACAGCGCGTAAGAAATGCTGGGAAACAAAAATCGCGAATTCAGAACGAAAAAAAGTCCACGTAAGAAAAGCGAGCTCGAAAACCTACACGGAGGTGTTGACGGAAGAAGCAAGTGATGAGCCTAACGGAAGGGCCAAGGTTGACGTGGAAGAGCGAAATCAGGCGGGTTGGAATGTCGGACGGCGTGGAATGGTTGTGTGTTCGCCGGCACGTCGCGAGAGAAACGACGATTAGCTACTATGTCGTCAAATCAACGAGGCTGACATATCAACGGATGGATTATCCGACCCGACGCTGTTTTTACCGAAGTTGCGAAGATCGAACGGAGGTCGACGACGAACAGCAATCGACGTCGGAAATTCAAATTTCCTCGTGAAATCCCAAGACTCGACGCTGAACGGTAAAAGCTCACGTCCAATAGCGAAAATCGACGCCGATAATAGAAGTTTCCTCGTAAAATCCCAAGACTCACGCTAAACGGTGAAGAACGACGTTGAATAGCGAACTCTGGCTTCTAACAGCGAAATCTGGTCTAATGCCAAGAAAGCCGTGAAAACTCCACTGAACTCTCTGGAAAGCGAAGAGAATGACGCCATGATGGCACGGGAAATTGCGAACTGGGAAGCTAGGGTGAGAGAATGGCTGCAAGCGCGAAGGAGGCGGACTGGAGTGAGGAAAAACGAGTCGAAACGGTTGCTGGACGAAATGGCTGCTGGAGTGAGGTCCTCTCCTCGCCACAAACCAAACCAACTCCAAGGCTACCGAGCATTTGCCTCCAGTCAAAAGTCTACGAGAAATCGCAGTCGTTCATCAAAACGAACTTGAACCGCGAAAAAACGCAACGGCTAAACGGAAATTCTATTGATTGGTTGACGTTAGTCGTGTCAGGAATACTCGAACCCCAACCGTGAAATCTGAGGTCAAAAGTTTGACGATTGGTGGGTATTCGTGTCGGCGGGTTGGCGATTTCTAACATGGACACGTAGCGCTGTTGGCTTGGCGTGAAGGAGGGCAAAATCGGGCGACTAATGGCCAACGAAATGGTTCTCAGGCAAGAAAGGCGGCGGCAGCCATAGTTTGGGAGGAAAAGCGGGAGGAAGATCTGATGGGAGCAGATTGGATTTGGAGTCTCCCTCTCACACCCTCTGACACCTGCAACGGCTACCAGACCCTCGCCCCCTCTAATCGGCTCTGCGTTCGCGAAAAACAGTGCTAACAGCTGAAATGTGTGCGAAGGAGATTCTTGATTTCGTCGCACTCCGCATGTGGTGTGAACTTTGTTGGGGTTGGGGGTATATTCCAAGCGAAACTTTGATGAAATCCAACCAGTACCGAGTCGGAGAAGATCACTGGGGGTCTCTGGGAGGTGGAATTTGATGCTAGGAATGCTGGACTGTTCTTGCGAGTCTACCATCGGGTCATGGGTCTCGTTCTGTACAAACTTTCTGACATGTGTCAGAAACACGTACTCGATATCCCGAATTCATGGGCAGAATTGAGAGCGATTGGGCGAAATCTGACTTTTGCCGTTGCGAAAACAACTCGCATTGACGAAAACCGAAGCAGTGCTACAGCTTCTTTTTTCAGAATATATCTGCAATATATGCTTGAAATTGAGGAGTATAAATCTATATGATTATGAAAAGTACACTCGATATAGAACTTTCACAGTGGTCGTTCAACTAATTGAGACAACGGCCATTGTTAATCGGGTCATATTACATGGAACGCAGATAGGTCACGTCAGCATTCCTCCACGTCATCCAGACGTTTCGTAGAGAAACGGAAGTGACTGACAGCCAATAGGCGAGTGCCTAGAGAGTTTTCGTGCAATCCTCGAGGCCACAATCCCCACCCACACTGTCTTCGCTTCGAGCGTTCCCTTGCCAAGAAGAATCATTTGCTCACTGAGTTCCCAACCTCCTCTTCAGCCACGGAAGGCGGCTTGGATGCTAGGGCACAGGGGATTTCCCCGTGCTCCTGCTGCGTCGCTCTGTCAATGAAGCCATTGCTTGGAACACCGTTGTCATTTTGAAGGAACGCAGGCAACGACATCTCCTCCATCTGATCCGAGCTTTTTGCTCGAACGGAAGGGTTTGTCATTTGCTTCGCGAAACATCGTGACCATCGTGTTTCGAGGAGCTTTTGATTTGTGACGCTTACGCGTTGAAACCGCGCTATTTTCTTGGTTCCTTGGTACCACTACAAAAATGGCGTGTTCAATGGCCATGACACAAGCAGCCAAATGCGGCCTCTCTCTCGCCGCCGCGCCCACAGCTAGAGCCGGGTCCCCCACAATCACCGCTTCAGGAGTTCCGCTCGCCGCGCTTCCACGTGGAAGTTCCTCAGCCGTCCGTTCTGTCGCAGCCCTGTCGGTCGGCTCCAGTTTCAAAGAGTCGTGGTGTGGGAAGGCGCATCTGGGATGCAACGACATGCGCGTCGTCTTTCAAGGTAGCACCTTCCGTTCCTTTTCACTTGCACGCCGTCGATGAGTGGCGTTTCTTCCTTCTGTTCGCGCAGGGGGTTGTAAACATGCTTCGCGCATGATAGAGGAGTCTAAACTCTTATGACGGGAGCCATGAGCTGAAGCTTTGCCATGATCATCTCTTATTCCCTTTAAAACATCTTTAGCCTTTCGTTCCCGGCTGGCCGCAGGTAGCAGAAGCCTCGCCAGCAAGAGCACACGGGCAGCGGGCAAGGGTCTGCTGGTGCAGGCGTCTTTTATGGGCGTGGGCGCACCTGAGGCCCTCGTGATCGGCGTCGTCGCACTGCTGGTGTTCGGACCCAAGGGTCTGGCCGAGGTACGCAGAAATTGTATAAAAATCGTGGTTATGTCTGTATAGAAATCGTGGCCCAGGTGCCTCGTAATCGCGACTCTATCCCTGTCGTCGAGGTTTGAAAGTCAGTGGGAACGTTCTGGGATGAAGGATGCGAAGCGAATCAATATAACAGAAAAAGCAAAATGTAGCAGAATATAACGAGGAACTCTCACGACATGAAGGCTGATCTGCTGCAGAAGCAAACTATATCCTGCTCTCTTCATCCATCCGTGTGTCTGTTCCATTTCAGATGGCTCGCGGTGTCGGCAAAACGCTGAAGACGTTTCAGCCGACGATCAGGGAGCTTCAGGAGGTGTCCCGGGAATTCAGGGACACGCTCCAGTCGGAGATCGGAATCGACGACATCAGGAACCCACCGCCTCCTCCCCCCACCCCCGTTGCTGCTCCTCCTGCTGTTCCTCCCACTCTTTCCGCCGCTGCTCTCGCCGCTGCTCCCGCCGCTGCACCCGCCGCCACCGCCACTTCTGCCGCTGCCCCGAATGTCACAATCATCCCCAACGGTTCGTCCTTCGCCTTGCTGTTTCATCCCTGACTTTTTTTTTTTTTTTTCTTCCAGCGCAAGAAGGAAATGACTGGTCCGTGGGCGAATATGATAGGAGCGCTCGTCTCCTATCCCCACCACATTACCTTCGTCACCTGGGTGCTGGCACCTCCCGAACCATGCCCTGGATACAAACTTTACCACAAATGCTGGTCTTTATGCTTTCGGCCTCTCTCCTCACACTGTCCCTCGTCCTCCCTTTCGCTTCCACTCTCTCCGCTCTTCCCGCCAGTCCCCTATAGTCCATCCCCTTCATTTACCCTCTCCATTGCGTCTGTTCCTTTCCTACCTTGCCTCTCCTCTTCCACCCCCTGCCGCATCACCCGATCGCCCATCCCTCACCACCATCCCTGACGTGCAGAGTTCTCAGCTGATGACGTGGCGAAGGTGACAGAGCAACAGCTGGCGGCCGCTGCTGCGCTCAACGCAGTCACGGACGACATGAAGAAAGGTGAGCGCCCGTGGGAGGATGGTGATGCGGCTTCAAGAAGCATGAAGACGGATGAGGGGCGTGCATGGGTTCGTGAGGAAGCTCTTAGCCGATGACGAGAGCTGGGTGCTTCTTTTCTGGGTTCCTTTTATGGTGGGATGACCAGAGGTGCATATCGCATTCGCTGCATGGATGTTGAAAGTCTGCTAAGCACCATGGCATGCCATGAATCTTGGGACTGGTTTTAGCCCTTTCCCAATATTATGCCCATGTCCATCTGATCAGGTGCTCACGAAATGCTTCCTCTCCCATGCATTCATGCCCATCCTCTACAGCCTCTGCAGCTGCTGCATGGGCACCTGCGGCTGCTGCTGCTGCTACCCCAGCAGCAGCACCTGCTGCAGCAGCAGCTACACCAGCAGCCGCATCGTCTGCAGCACCTGCAGCGCCGGTGTCATCACCACCAGCAGCAGCAGCACCGGCGGCACCAGCAGCAGCAGACTCTGCAACCCCTAGCCCATCTGCTGAGAGCAAGACACCTGCCCCCGGCTGCTGAGAGATAGATAACTGCTTAGCTGTTATGTATTAGAGGTGTGCTGATGTGTTTTTCACCTGAATCTTTGAAGATGAAATGGTGTGGTGTGAATCTTGTGTTGTGTGTCTGTTTGCTAGGACCGATAGAGTGCCTCTGTTGGGGCCAGGTATAGGTTTTGTAAGTAGGTAAATGAACTGCGAGTGGTTGGCAAGCTTTCATTCTGTGTACCGTAGCTGCTGGAAACAGCAATTCAAAAACCACTAGCACCAAATGCACCGGTGGGTGAACTGAAACTGCTTGCTAGTGTTCCATTACCTCCCCAGAGAGGAACAGAAAACTTCCTAACTGTGACTGGAAGGAGGCTTTGGTTTTGTAGAGTGAGAGTTCCTAAGCAGGCGGCTGTGTTGGCGGCACAGGTGCGTTGTCATGCAACCACTTGAGGTACGCTTCGCTGCCACCCACAATAGGGAGCGCTATGAGCTCAGGCACACTGCACCCGCCCACACGGCACATGCAAACATACCATGTACGGTATCATGGAGACAGGGGGGTGAGGGACATGTGAAGACGTATGGATGAGGCGGGGAGGCAGAAGAGGGAAGGCTTTGAGGGGGGACACGGAGATCTGGGGAGCAAGAGTTGGTTGGGGGGGGGGGAAGTGATGAGCTGCAACCTTTCAGCTTTGGTGTTTCTCCCACCTCCATCCTAACCTCCTCATCCAAACCAAACTCATCCCTCCCCCATCCGAACCAAACCATACATACGGTATCCCTTTCCTCCAACTGTGCACCCCTTGCCTTTCCTGTCATTACTCGTCACTCCCTCACATCCTCCCTTACCCTCTCACTGCCTCCAGAGCCTGCACTCACTCGTACGGATGGTTCCCCTTGAGGTGCTCTTGAATGGACGGCAGCAAGGCACGCTGTGTCTTCACTATAAGCAGCTCCTCGTTATCAGTCTCAATCTGCAGGGTAACAGAAACTTGAACTGGCCTGAATGGCCAGAATGGCGAGGCAGAACTGCGACAAAAGGCAGCTATCGATGTTTGACAAGGCCATGCATGGCAATGGCTTTCAATGCATGGCAATGAATACAAGCAATGCAGGGCACTGCACGGCAATGCCACATGGTTGCATGGCTTGACAGAATTTCCAGCAATTCACTCACCTTCCCCTCCCACCAGTAGGTTGACTCCACCCCTGCCCACGCCAACACAAATGAGAGAGAGAAACAGACAAAGGGAGTCAGTCAGACCACCACTTGCAGATGCAGAGAAACCGTCTCATCAGATACAGACAAGCACGTAATAGGCACACATCCATCTTGGAGCAGCAGCACGTCACACAGTAGCAGGGACTCGGCATGGCACCCACCACCTTGCTCCACGGCTCACCAGGAACTCGGTTCACACACGCAGCTAGCTTCTATCCCACCAGCTGTGAGACGTCTCACAGTCCTGAGACGCCTCAGGATTAAAGACGGCCCAAAACTTGGCATAGCACCCACCCACCGACCCTTCCCACTTTACGGCTCACCAGGGACTCGGTTCACACATGCGGCTAGCTTTGCTCCCACCAGCGATGCTGCAAGCTTCTGCCCTGCAGGACACAGCCGAGAGGAGAGGGGGGGCGAGTGAGGTGGAGAGAGGATGGGGGCGACAGGGAGAAGGGGTGAGGGAGCGAAGGAATAAGAGGGGGAAAGGGATCAGACGGGGCCGAATAAAAAGGGGGGAGGGGAGGAGGGGAGGAGGGGATTGTGGCATGGTGGAGAAGGGAAGGTACAGGTGAAAACAAGGAAGAGAAATAAGGCTTTTGACATTGCAACATACCAGTTTCCTTGTTGGGTACAGTGATATACACCACCACTGCATCACCCGCTCTCTCATCTGCCACCACTGGTCCCGCCGCTCCCCCTGCTGCTGCTGCTGCTGCTGCTGCCATCCCCCTTGCTGCCAGGCCAGATGTCTGTTCAGTTGGAAATGTTTTACTGGCTGCCCGTGCGTTGGAGCCAGAGAATATTTCAGAGGCGGAGGAGGAAGGGGCAGCCAAAAACAAACTGCCCAGGAAGAGGGAGAGGAAGAGGAGGAGGAGGAAGATAAGAGGGGAGTGGGAAGGAGTGGGGGGGTGAGAGGGCGTGAGACAGGAGAGCGATGAACGGAGGAGGATAAGGAAGGAGGGTGCGGGAGAGGACCGGCTGTGGGTTGATGAACAGGACGGAGGAGGCATGGCGCCGTCAGATGCTGATGCTGGTGTTAACGTTGACGCTGACGTTAATGTTGACGTTGACGTTGACGTTGAGGTTGACGTCACCAGGGTTACAGCACCAGTGCGTCTGCAGCAATCACGCGCTATCACGCAATTCGCTTGGAAGGTCAGCGCAGATTAGAGACAGACGCGGCGACGAGCAGACAGCTCTCACCTCGACGTTTCCCGCCGTGCGCGGCTCGCAGAAGAGACCCCAGCAATAGCAGCAGCAGCAGCAGCAGCAGCAGCAGCAGCCGAGACGCGGAGCGAAGGCGGAACCGAAAGTGAGGCCGACGGTGGCGGCGCCAGCGACGGAGAGTTAATGGAAAGGAAGTCCTGAGGTCCGAAAGAGAAAGAGAGAGGGTGAACATGAGGGGCACGATAGATGAAATGGAAGACTCAAGAAGTGACACTAGATTGCGAATCGCGGAAGGAACGCCGAGAAAGGGCGGGAGCACAACGTTTAGAGTCTGCGGCTGGGGCGGCGGAGCTACGACGTACGTCCATGCAGCTGGGCACGCATGCGGAGATTTTGCAAAAAAAAAAAAATCCGAATGGAAATTTCTATTTTGAGTCATGGCGACACGTAAAATCGATACGTACGTGAACACGTAGCGCGCCGGAATCCACGGCGCGTCGCAGCAGCGGCTGCGTGGCGAGGAGACGGCGGCGAGGACGGAAGAGGGGGGAGTGAAGAGGAGCAATGTGGGATAGGGAAAGCGCGAGGCTAGCAGCCATGGCGGATTGGAGGGGGGAAATTCACATTCAGCAGCAGCAGTGATTGATTCGCGGAACGGTTAGGCTGGCGAGGATTCTGGAGAATGGATTCCTCGTTATGCTGGTCTCCCCTGGGCAGCTCATGGACAAGGGAGCTAATCTGCAAACCAAAGACTGTCACTCGCATCATTGTATTGGGAGGACAAGTGGCTGCAACGGCACGATACCGCCATCGTCTTCTCTGCCTTGACCTGAAACCGTGGCCAGCAAGCAACAGCACAACGGCTGCAGCGACATCCAACGGCATGGCGGCTGAAGCGGCATGCAACGGCATGCAACAGCACGACGGCTGCAACGGCGGCATGGCGGTTGGAGCAGCATGTAACGGCATGGCAACTGCAACGGCAAGCAACGACACGGCGAAGGCGATTGCTGAGGTGGCGTCAAGCAAGCCGGAAGAGAATGACGAAGCGGCCAGCCTTACAACATATGTGGTGGGGACCAAGGCGATGCTCAACCTTAGCACACTCACCTTGAGAAAGTGGACAGCCACAAACGGTGGCGTGCTTGGCATGGACCTGGAGAAATGAGGAGAGGACACGTCAAGCGCCTTCTCCGAAGAAGCCAAACTCACTCGTCAAACACTTCCGTTGCCTCACGAGCGAGAGGGGGAGGTTCTTGGGATGGTCCATGGCCCTGAGCAGAATCGGCCGCCGTCACGTACCGTCATCATGGTCCTAGTGCCGTCCGTGCAAGGGGGCGAGCAACCGTTTAATTGTTCGGTTGACCCTGTGGGCAGCATGGGAACCATGGCTCCGCCACCTCCCTGTCCATCCTTAGCTGTTGGCTTGGCACCCATGGGGCCAGAGGTTGGTCCCTCTGCAAATGAGCGTAGTACAGCTGATGAAGATGAGAAAGGAGAGGCAGCGGATCTGAAATTGGCGGCAGCCCGTGGGAAGGACCCCCACAGTTCCGCCCCTCCAACCCACTCCTCCACCCCCATGTGATTCGAGCATGTCCAACAAGGGTATTTCACCTGTACTGTTTCTCGCATCAGCCATGACGACCTCGGATGCGGATGATAACAACAACATGTACGACATGACATTCTTTGTTGAAGGGTGCACGGACATCTATTATGATGTGGAGTTTTTGGATGAGGCTGATGAGGAGGAAGGGGGATTAGGGAGCATCATCATCAACCTCGAAGTAACCTTGACCGGACCTGAAGGCAAGGTGGTGGACAAAGGTCTCTTCGTGGTGGGATACCTGTCATCAACAGAAGGCTATCTTGGGCTGCAGATTGTGCGCGACCGCCCCAACAAGACACTCCTCCTGTACCAGAATGCATACGTGACGAAGGTGCAACAGAGGTTCCTCAAGGGGGCGCCACTGAAAGAAGCAGCCGATCATCCCTCTCTCCTCTGCCAGCTTTGCCAAACAGGTTGCCGGACAATTTGCGAACCGAACCATGACCGAGTATTTGTCAATTTGTGGCATGGTGCAGTTTGCAGCCATCTCAACCCGTCCTGACCTCTCTTTTGCGTGAGCCGCCTTGCAGCACGTGCACACCTAAGGACGGATGCGCATTGGCATGAGCTCTTCCGCACACTCTTCTACTAGGTTGCCTCAAAGAGGCTTCTGTTCAAGGAAGGACCAGAGAGCTTGGCCCTCGTGTGGTATTCGGATGCGAATGATATGGGTGACAAGGAGAACCGGTCGTCTACGGGAGGCTACCTCTTCAAGCTTGGCGGAGCTGCCATTTCCTAGCAAGCCAAGAAGCTGCAGGGTGCGACCAAACTTTCCTCCACCGAGAGCGAGCTTGTGGCTGCAGTGGAAGACGGAAAGGAGGGGCGCAAGCCAAGGTTCCTGTTGTGGGCAGCATATAAACTACACATAGCTTGCACATACAGTGCAATCGACTGGATGTGTGAATATGGTCTTTCTCAGTTAATCCAGTACACGATGGTGATTGTGTAAACTCCAGCCTGATCCCATTCCTCAAATGCTCACACACACCCATCATCACCATCTGCTACCTTCAAAACCTTACCTACCCTCTCAACACAGCACACCATACCGGTACTATCAAGCCCTCCTAAACACCTTCACTTGAATCCCGTCCACAGCAGCCATGGAAACGCCGAGCCTCAGGTTCGGAACCTCCTCGCGCATCTGCTTCTCAGAAAGACGGAACACAAAGCGCCGGTAAATCCGCACCACGCCAATCATTAGCTGCTGAATCGCCAGCTTATACCCCAGGCACTTCCTTGGCCCGGCACCAAACGGGATATACGCACACGGCGGGCGATTCTCCCCAAGAGCCTCGCCGCCCGGGAGGAACCTCTCCGGCTTGAACGCGTCAGGCTCGGCGAATAGCTTCGGGTCGTGGTGGATGCTGTAGGCATCGACAAAGAAGCGTGTGCCCTTGGGAATGGCTCGGCCGTCGAGAGTGGTGTCGAAGGTGGCCTGGCGCGCGATGTTGGGCGCGGGTGGCACGATGCGAAGGGTCTCCTTGACGACGGCGTCGGTGTAGGGGAAGAGATGCAGGTCCTCGTAGCTTGGGCGCTTGTCTGGAATGGTCGAGTCCACCTCCTTCAGCAGCAGTGCTTCCACCTGCATGCATGGGTGCAGATGGGTGCAGATGGGTGCATGGAGAAAGTGCAGGAGTGGAGAGGGGACAAACAGGAGGAATGTGAAGTGACATACACTCAGCAGAAATGCCGATGAGAGAGGGAAGGAACGGGATGATGAAACGAGGGAACAATAGCAGGCAGCAGACCAGGAAAGAAGCCACAAAAACAAGAACGACACAATCAACTAAGAAATACCATATTCACCCATCAAGTCCATCCATCCCGCCCACATCCTGTCAGTCATCATGCCATGTCATCACCTGGGGGTTCTTGGCAACGTAGTAAACAATGAATCCCATAGTCGTGGCAGCAGTCTCGGAGCCAGCGAGAACCATCTCCATGGCCACCGCCTGCACCTGCTTCAGGGTCAGCTTCGACCCGTCGTCCAAGCAAGTCTTGTTCGACAGCCATGATATGAAGTCCGGCTTCTCCTTCTCCTTCTCCGCCCCCCCCTCCACCACCACTGCCGCTGCTGCTTCTGCTGCTTGCGCCCCTGCAGCGCTTTCTCCCCCCTCCGCACCAGCACCAGCACCAGCAGCAGAAGCAGAAGCAGAAGCAGAAGCAGAAGCAGCAGCAGCCCCCTCCTCTGTCTGAGGGCTGTCGCGGCAGGCGAGCACAGCAGCAGCAGTGTACTGCCTGGCGAGCCAGCCTGCGCGCTCAGGCGTACCGGGAATGCACTCGAGAAAACGGCGCACGAGGATGCCCAGAGGGAGGTGGAACAGCTGCACCGGGGCCGACCATGGCGCTTTGCTGGTGTGCCGGGGAAGGGAAAAGCGGGGATTTGGGGAGCGGACGGGGATGAGGGCGAAGGAGAGCAGGAGAGGTGAGCGGAACTGAAGAGAAATGGGCTGGAGAGATAAGCAGACATGCGCAGAGAGAGGCAGAGATAAGCGGAACAAGGCGCGGATAGGCAGAGATGGGAAGGAGGACAGGACATGGAGGACAAGAGGGAAAAGATATGGATGGAAGCATGCGCAAGAAATGAGTGTTGAGAGTCATGCACGCTCACCTTCCGGAAATGTTGAACTGCTCGAGAATGGTCTGCAGAGCGTCAGCCAGCTTGCCACCATCGTACGTGGAGAAGCGACGGCCAAACACAGCAGATCCCACCACGTCCACCGACGCATGGTGGAACAGAGGCGACACATCCACATAACCACCACCCTCCCCACCTTCCTCACTCCCCCCAATCTTTCCCACCGTCCTCCCTGCATCCTCTGCTGCTGCGCTGACCTGTTTCTCAGGGCTTGTATCCTCCGCTGCTGCTGCCATGCCCTTTCCAGCCCTCACAGTCTCAGCCAAGCCGCGCTGCAGTGTGCTCTCAGCCTGTGTGGCTGCATGCTCTGGTTCCACTGCAGCAGGAGAGGTGGGCTCCAGAGGCGGAGGAGGGGACGCCGGTGGCTCTGCCAGTGGGGATGCTTCGGCCTCTTCTGTGTCGCGCTTCTGGGGCTTCAGTGCCTGCGGCTGCTGCTGCTGCTGCTGCTGCTGCTGGGATGGTGTGGTTGTGATTGATCCCTGGGCGTGACTGTCGAGCTTACCTGTGATACATGCATGCAAGCACACATGCACATGCCCCACGCACACACGCCGCAGCAGACGGCCAATGCATGCGCACATGCACACGTAACATGGCCTCCCACAAGGACACACACATGCAGCACGTGTACATGGGAAAGGATTGCTATGGTAAGCAGCAGCGAAGGGGCATCCTCACATCCCAATGAACCATGCGTGGTGGAGTCATCATCTCTCCGAAACAGCACGTTTCTAAACCATGGTGGATTCAACACCTAGTCCCAACATATGTTCCCCACTCATACTTCCAGCACCCACAAATAGCAGAGCCCCCCAAGGCAACCGCCCCAAGGGGACCACTCATGGGGCAGTATGTTGCTCTAGGAGGGGGGTATTCAGTCCGACCACTCACTCACAGCGCAGCTCGGAATGAAGAATGAACGGCACAACATGATGAGGAATGACTCACGGAGTAGGTCGTCCATGCACTCGTTCATGAGCGGCGAGTAGCTCGCGAGGCGCGACGAGTGGAACAGCGGCACCACAGCGGCGCGCACGCGGCGCCAGTAGTTGCCCTTGCCAAAGATAATCTTGTCTGCCGTAAACTCATTCGGGGTCAGCTCAAACCGGTCGTGGAACGCGTCGAAGTGCCGCTCGCACACCTCCCGTGCGAGCTCGGGCGAGGAGACAATCACCATGGGATGCGGGCCCATCATGTACTTGTAGATCGCGCCGTACTGCCGCGCCCATTCCATGTGGCATATGTGGAACTCCCGGGTGGCTATGTCTGGGATGTTGCCCACTAGGAAGCGGGAGGGTGGGCCGGGGATGTGGCGCAGGCGGCGCGCGGGGGAGGTTATGAGGCGGACGAGGAAGAAGAGGAGGAGAGCGTAGAGGGATGTGAGGAGGAAGGTGTAGAGGAAGGGGGGAGAGAGGAGGTAGTTGGTGATTGGGAGGAGGCGTGAGGGGAGGACGCGTGTGGTGAGGGCGTGAGAGAGTGAGGAGATGGGATGCGCAAGGGACGGAGGGAGGGACGGGAAGAGGGAGAAGAGCGGGGAGAGGAGCGGGGAAAGGAGGGCGGAGACGGCGCGGAAGGCGGGGAAGGGGGAGAAGTCGCGCGGGGAAGGGTAGGAATTGGCGAGATAAGAGAGGAAAGAGGAGACGACGCGTCGAGCTCCGCTGGCCGCCATGTCAGCGGAGGCGAAGAGGCTCTCCGCCATGGCGATAGGGTCGTGGTCGTACGCGCGACCCGCACTCCCGCACTTGATCACGTATTCTTCACTCTTACGACTTCAACGCGCCGTGAGCGAGAATCTGGTGAACTCCAGGTTACTATTGTCGTTCTGCAGGGCAGGAGATCCCGCACGAAACCCCTCAACCGAACCGAATTCCTCCCTTCGTACAAACTCACGGGCGAAAGCTGCTTGCTAGGGTCAACCGGACTGTGGCATAACCTAAATAATGCTCGCGCCGTGACTTCCAAATTCCAGGATTGAGGCGGTGAGAGGAGATTTATAAAGGAGGTAGCGAGCCTCGTCCTATCGACAAGCACGAGAGGACGACGGACAAGAGAACGAAAACGGTAAGGCTAGGGCTGCACACACCACCCGGGAACGCAAAAAATTGAATGAATGAACCCAGTAACGCTGAGGCCGATGACGAGGCGGAGGCTGGGGCGGAGGAGGAGGAGGAGGAGGGCAGCAGTGCTCGAGGGGCGACAGTAGCGGTGCCTCTGGCGCAGCTCGGCGGGGTTTGGCGGAGCATGCGGTAGCGGCGTGCCTGCGACACGCGGGTCTGCATGTAAGCGCTCCGAAGCTGACGTCAGGAGCAGCGTCGCACGGTGTGGCATGAGCGATGCATGGTGGTGGATGGAGGGAAGCGCAGTGGCGGTGAATGCACTGCCACGTACGCTAGGAGGAAAACCCCCTTCCGCCCGGCTTTTCGGATCGTAGGGATCATCCTCCAAGGAAACTATGCAACGGAAACCAAGCAAAGATTGCGAAGCTAGCGGGGAGGCGCGCGCTTTCGGCACTCGCTGCGCGCGCGGAGATGCAGTATACGGCTGCATGGCGAAGGCAAAGCGGAAGAGTGGGAAACGGTAGCGAATGGAAGAGGCGCGAGCGTGCATGTGCGCTGTGAGCCGGGCGGATCTCGCTCGCGGTTTGGTATGCACGAGTCGTGGTATGCGACGATGCGATTCGACAGGAAAGTACCATATTCGTTGGTGTGCTGCTGCATGGGGAGAGAGACTAATCGAGGTCGGGGTTGCAGCGTTGGGCTCACCAATTGGAAAAGTAGGCACAGAAGAATTGCACCTGCTGCTGGGGGATTCGGTCTTGCCGTTCTTCAATGCGGTTGAGATGGTTTACTCCTAGTTTTCACATCACGTTTTGGAACTTATTGAACAAAACCTTGACTACCTAAGTGGAACATTTGAAATGCCTAGAACTAATCTCTATATTGTGTTTGTCCTTTTCAATCGTACACTTGTAACCATGCACCCACTACTCAGAAATCCAGTACCCAATATCGAGTCCGTAAATGTACAGCAGCACCATCATCCACCACCACCACCATCCATCACTTTTCGCCCACTCATTTGCTGTTCCTTTCCCCTCGGCACAACCTCTAACTGCCTCATTTGTTCCCACTGCTCCACTGTAATTCGGTCTCAACACAGCTTAGTAATGCGGAGAATCTCGCAATAATCCCCTTCAGCGTCCTCGTTGGTCCGCATTGGCCATGTCAGGTCGGCGTAGCGGCCTGTCTGGCCTCTCATCATCCGACAAATCCGGCCGGGGCGGAGACGACAGTACCGCGTCGAAGCGAGGCGACGATGACGATCGCGACAGGGACAGAGACGTGGATAGCGATTCGCGATCCAGGGGCAGCAGCGCCAGCGCAGGAAGAAGCGGCGGTCGCGGCGGGTCCGGGGAGAAGGAACGCGATAGCAGCGGCGGCGGCGGCGGAAAGGGCGGAGGAGCGATGGTGCTGTTTCAGAACGTGGGCGGCTCGGTGACGTTCTTACTTCAGATCGCGCTTCTAGCGTGGGGCATACGGCAATTGCGCAGCGTGCTCGCGAAGCGCCGGGAATCCCGCCAGCGCAACCAGGGCAGCAGCGCCGGCGCGTCCCCCGCCTTCGCCTCGCTCTCCCCGCTCGCGGCGCTCATGATGGCGGGGTGGACGGGGGAAAGCGGGGGCGCAAGCGGCGGAGCTGGCGCAGGTGGGGCGGGGAGCAGCAGCGCGGGGGCTGGCGTTCCCGCGCCAAGCCTTGCTGCGGCTGGAAGCGGGGTAGGCGGGGGCGCGGGTGAAATCGGCGCAGGGAGGATAGGCGCAGGGGGAGAGGATGGGGGCGTGGCGGAGGCGGGAGGTCTGACACCAACAGCGAGAGCAGCAGCAGTGGGGGGAGCAGAATCAGGGGCAGCATCGGGGGGGGAAGGGGGAAGCGGGGGAGGATGGGGGGGCAGAAACGCGGTGGTGGTGCCCCACGTGGTGATAGATGTGCGGGCGAGAGACGTGGCCAAGAGCCAGCCCATACCGCTGCCGTCCCCACACGTTCTCAACATACCAGGTCAGTGGTCAGTCAGTAGTAGTCCGTCTGTCTGCCCGTGCGTGCAGCATCATGACCTGCCCTGCCTGCTGCTCCGCTCCCCCTGCATTGTCCCACTCCCCTGGCCCCTGCTTCCCCCCTTTTTCGCCGCGCTCTGCTCCTCTCGACCTCCACGCCCTGCGTCCTGTTCTGCTCCTTGTTCTGCTCCATTCACTCCCCAATCCCCCTTCCCGCCTCTCCCCGCTCCCCTACCCTATCCCCCCGTCTCCGGCTTCCAGAGTGCGACCTGCTGCACGCGCTGCAGCTGCCAGCAGCGGCATGGGAGCACCTTTTTCACGAAAACTCTTGAGTCGTCTCAAAACCCTCCACTCCCTCTCCCCCCTCTCCCCTCTTTCCCCCACCTCCCTCCCCCTTCCCGCCCCCAGAGAGCGATCTGCTACAGGCGCTACAGCTGCCAGCAGCGGCGTGGGAGCACCGGTTCCACGACACGCGCCAGCCGGACCGCCGCCACCTGCTGCTCTTCCTCTCCTCGCACGGCAACTCCGCACAGCGTGCCGCCACAGTCGCCGCCTCCCTCGGATACACCCGCTCCTGTGTCCTCGCTGGGGGGCTAGATGCCCTCAAGAAATTCCTCGCCTCGTCCGCTGCTGCTGGTACCCCTGCACCGTCGCCTTCAGGTGCTGGTCTGGGCGGAGGGGGCGGGGGCGGGGGTGGGGGAGGGGTTGGCGGGGGAGGAGGAGGAGGAGGGGTAGGGGGTGCTGGGCTGGCCACAACCCCTACCGCTGCCGCTGCCGCTGCCGCTTTGGGCGCGTCGTCGTCCGCGCTGTCGTCCGCGCCCTCTGCATCGGCCGCTGCAGCGCCGTTCCACTGGATACCATCCACAGCAGTGTCTGTAAAGAACATATCCCGGGATGCAGTGGCGCTGCTGCTCGCGCGCAAGGGAGGGCAGTACCCCCACACGCTCATCCTGCAGTCTAGGCCCGCCCCGCCCTCCGCTGCCCCGCTCGCCCTTGCTTCTCCTGCTGTCACTGAAGCAACCGCTGCTGCCTCCCACCACCCTGCTTCTGCCGCTGCCTCTGACTCTGCCCCTGGCACTGCTACTGCCTCTGCTGCTGCTGCTGATTCTGCCAACGTTCAGGGCGGTGGTGCTGGGCAAGGGGGAGGGGAGGAGCGTGGGGTGAGAGAGGGGGGTGGGGAGAGGAGGGAGAACGGAGTAGCTGAGGGGCTGGATGCGAGGGGATATCCAGAGGCGGATGGGGAAGGACATGGGGCAGATGGGCTGGGTGGGGCGGAGGGAGGGGGGAGAGCAGGAGGGGAAAGCAATGCACGGGGAGAAGAAGAGAGGGGGGGAGTGGAAGGTAGAGGGGGAGAAGGTAGAGAGAGGGATGGAGGGGGGGCTGAGGCAGAGGGACATGGGAGGGGAGAAGCAGCACAAGGGGGGGAAGGAGTAGGGCGGGTGGTGTGGGAGGAGGTGGGAGGAGGCAAGCCGTGGTTTTATTTGATTGATGTGAGACGGTTCGATGAGCGTGTGCTGTATGGAGGGATACCGGGCTCCGTGCACATACCAGGTGCGATGCATGCATGATTTGTCCATGCATCAATTTATTCATCAATCCGTCCGTCCATCCATCCATCCATCCATCCATCCGTCCGTCCGTCCGTCCGTCCGTCCGTCCATCCGTCCATCCATCCATCCATCCATCCATCCATCCATCCATCCATCCATCCATCCATCCATCCATCCATCCATCCATCCATCCATCCATCCATCCATCCATCCATCCATCCATCCATCCATCCATCCATCCATCCATCCATCCATCCATCCATCCATCCATCCATCCATCCATCCATCCATCCATTTTCGCAACAGCTCTCCCCTCTCCACTCCACCCACCCTTGTCGTCCCACTCCTTCCCTGGTTGCCGTGACCGCCGATTACCCTCATGAACCCCCACTGCTCTGCACGGGGCGCCCGTGGAGCAGCGGAGGTGTGGCCAGTGGCACTGTCACTGGGCGAGGAGGCATGGAAGCAGCGCTACCAGTGGCCCAAGATGGAGCCCCACTCGCTTCTCATCCTCCACTGTATGCCCCTCGCTCACTTGATGCTCCTCCCTGCTCATTCGTCTCTTTCCTGCCGCCCTTCTTGTTGCCCCTCCTTGTGTCTCGCTGTCTCTACCGCTGCCTATCATATCACCGCAATACATGCTTGTGTTGAGACGTCTCAAAACAATACATGCTTGTGTTGAGACGTCTCAAAACAATACATGCTTGTTATCTACCCATGCCATGCCTCTTCATGCTCATCTCATCACCGTTCTCGTGTTTCGTGTGACCTTCCTTGTGACTCCTTACTCACAGTCCACCACTCCTCTCTTCCATCCATCTCTCCCTCACCCTCTCCCTTTCCCTCTCCCTCGCCCTCACCCTCTCCTCTCCCTCTTCCTCACCCTCCACTCCATCTCCGTTTCCCTCTCTCTCCCCCTCAGCCAACACGGGGCCTCGAGCGTATTGGGCAGCACAAGTGGCACGAGATGCAGGCTATAACAGGTGATTCCGTCTCAGGTGGTTCAGGTGCTTCCATTTCAGGTGATTTCCTTCAGGTGTTTCTATTCCAGCTAGCTCCATTTGCAGTGGGTCTCGAGTAATCTCGCCGCAGGTGATTTTACTTTTGCGGCCTCTCTGCTTTATCTGGCCACCTATGCTACTGCTGCGCTGCACTGCTGTTACAGCTAGCTGCCGTGTGTGCTGCTGCTATGCGTTTCCCCACATCGTTTCTCTCCACTGCAACCCAAGCACACCCCCCGTCAATTCCCATTCGACCATCCCCCGATCCCCCTCCCCATCCGCATCCTTGATTCTATCCCCGCCCTGTACCTGTTTCCACAGGTTCTTTGTGATGCGTGAGGGCACACACGGGTGGCAACTTTTGAGGCCGCAGGGTGTTTTTGAGAATTCTTAAAAACACTCAGTAATCTATCCCCACCCTGTACCTGTACATCCTTGTTTCCACAGGTGCTTTGTGATGCGTGAGGGCACACACGGGTGGCGCCTGCACCCCTCTGTCTGTGTCTATGACGATTACCCCGAGGTACTTGCTCTCCTCCTCTCCTGCTCGCCTGCTCTCCTGCTCGCCTGCTCTCCTGCTTTCCTCTAACTTCTTCACTCTCCCCATACACCTTTCTCTGTGCCATGCCATGCTTTATCTCTTCATGCCCCGCCCAACACCTCCTAACCCAGCCGTCTCCCTCTCTCTTTCCCTCTCCATCCCTCGCTCCCTCTCTCCTCCCTCCCTGCACGGCCACCAGCACCTCAGACATTTGCAGTGAATGAGGGCATGGCGGAGCAGCAGCTAATGCTTCTCCCTCACTATTTCCCCCTCTTCCACATCCTCCTTCCCTCCCTACCCCCCTCCCTCCCTCCCTGCATGGCCTTACAGGTGGAGCAGGGCGGCGTGCCACCAGCACCGCAGTCGTTCACAGTGGAGGCCGTGGATGAGGGCATGGCGGAGCAGCAGCTCAGGCTGCTCGGCATTGCACTCTGACGACGACTCTCCACTTTCTCTCAACCATGCTTTTGCTTGCACGCTTGCACACCTGCTCTCCTGTTCCGCTGCCGCTGCTGTCATGGCTTCCACTCGCTGCTCTGCTGCTGCGCCTCCCACCCACTTCTGCTGCTTCAGCCACTGTTGCCATTGCACTGCTTTCCAGCCAAAAGCAACGACCACAAGCACTGCTTACCTGTAGTCGTTCGTAACCTTGATGTCAGACGTCTCGCTCACACTAGCACAAGGAATCAACACCTCTGCTCTATCTAGCCAATGGCAGCATCCTAGAGCTCTATTCTAAGCCCGAGGCATCACATGTGCACTGGAACAAACTGGAGAGGACTCCACGTGGAATTAGTAAAACACGAGAGGCTGTACCAGCCAGTAATCGCAGCAGAGGGAATGGTGGCAAGTGCATAAACAAGCAGTGAGCACTGAGGCTTGCTTTGAGCTTCTAGCCTCTTGTGAGACCTAAGGTGAGGCATAGGGCTGGGTAGAGTGAGCAGGGGGTACTCATTACATGAATAAATGGATGTTACGCAAATGACGTTTTGATGTGACGTGTGATGGTGTGAGCACACGGGTAGCGGGGCACATGAACAATGGCAAGCGGGGTATGTGGGGTTGGAGAAGATCAAGCAAATTGAGAATCGCTGTTTGAAATGCAGAACCACTGTGCTGCTTGCAATGCGGGCGGGCAAATGATCACAGTAAAAAGCATGAACATCTACACCGTTCCATACCCACGTCCATTGTCCTGTGGTTTGGGGTAAATGGTGCCATCACCTCCTCCCCTCCCCTGCAAGAACCATAAATACTGGCCTTGAAAACCATTAATGTACTAGTCCTACTGCCTTATAAAACCCATAGTAGTCAACTCAAGCAAGGAATAACGATCATGCATTTAGGACTAGATCACACCCAGCATTCAAAGCGGAGGCTGCGTGCAGTGCCGTGCAGTGCCGTGCAGTGCCGTGCAGTGCAGTGCGGTGCCGTGCAGTGCAGTGCGGTGCCGTGCCGTGCACAACCTTCTACCAAACTCCCCTCCTCTCCTCCCCTCCTCACCCCCTTCATCTCTCTAGGATCAACACAACACACCCAGCAAGCCACATGACATCCCGATGATGCCTCTGCTGTGCCTTCCATTCGGGTACCTCTCCAATCAAACCACGTGCTGGTTCGAGCAGCAGCGGATGCCGCTTTCGAGGCGCATCTCCCAGTCAGCCCAGTAAGCCCAGTCAGCTCAGTCAATAGCAGTCAAACCATGACCTGGCTGCTCGTTTGACCAGCGCCGGACGATGCTTGCCCAGGCTGCCCTGCTCCTCCTCCTGCCTCTGCTGCCATTACCAGATCCCCTGACCCTTGTTGCTGCTGCAACTGCTGCTGCTGCTGTTGCTGCTGCTGCTGCTGCTGCTGCTGCTGTGCAAGAATCTGCTGCATGGCCATTTGTTGCAGCACCTGCTGGGGCTGGGTGCATTGAGAAAAGCAGAGAATGCGCAGTGATGCCACAACATGCCGGGAGGAAAAAAGAAGAAACACACGAGAAATTCTTGATCCCCCCTCATCACCTCAGCTCAATAGGAACAGTGCTCTGGTTACCAGCATCCCTTGTTCGTCCACTTTCCACCTCTAGATCGAGCCCAGCTACCCAGATACAGCAGGCAACAGAACACAGGAGCCGTAAAAGCTCAAGTGCAAGCGAAGCAAATTATATGCAAGGAGCGAAAAGCGGACCTGGTGCAGCGAGTTCATGAGAGAAGTCTCAAGAGTTGAAAAGAGGAGCTGCTGTGCACCGCGTGTGTGGTGTGTGTGTGTGTGTGTGTGTGTTGTGTGTGTGTGTGTGTGTGTGTGTGGTACGGGTACGGTGTACAGTGTACGGCGTACCTGCTGTGTCTGTGGCTGCGCCTGCACCTGCGGCTGCTCCTGCGTCCATCCGAGGGACGCCTGGCTCATGCGGTAGTAGGGCTCCTTGAGATCTAGCTTGCCACTTGATGTCTGCAGCACGCCCCCCACTGTGCCGTCCGGACTCCACGCATGGGCTGATGCACGCGCGGGGGTGGGTGGAAAGAGAGAGGCGGCAAGAGTAAGGTAAGGCTTTTGATGGGGTTGGGTGGGGTGGGGGTGGTCGGATGGGAAGGGGAAGGGTAAAGGGAAAAGAGACAGAAAGTAATGTACGGGAAATTTGGAGAAACACGAGAACAGCGAGAACACGAGAACAGCGAGAACACGAGAACAAGAGTCCGGGGCGGAGAGGAGGGAGTTGGGGAGGAGGCTGTTTTTGAGTCGACTCAAAAACAGGAGGGAGTTGGGGAGGAGGGGAACAGCGAGCTCACTGGAAAGAGTGAGGTGGATGGTGTAGCTTTGCGCGCTGTGTGCAACGAGGTGCAGGCGACCCGTGATGAGCTGGCCGGCAAAGACATAGAGCGGCTGTGCCAGCACGCAGCGCAGCTGGTACCAGTGCGTTGTGGGCGCTCCTGGCGCTGTTGATAGCCACCTCTGCACCACACTGCGGGATGGTGGGAAGGGAATGGGGGTGGGAAGAGGTAGGGGGAGAGAGTGGGGGCAGAGTGAGGGAGGTGGGTCTTGAGTCGACTCAAAGCACGCAGCGCAGCTGGTACCAGTGCGTTGTGGGCGCTCCGGGTGCTGTTGATAGCCACCTCTGCACCACACTGCGGGACAGTGGCAGACAGGCAGACGGGTAGGCAGGCAGGCGCACGGGCAGACATATGGATGGAGGGAGAAAGAGTGGGAGAGCGGCAGCGTGCGGGAGAAAGATGGGCACATGAGGAGGTGGGCACATGAGGAGGTGGGCACATGAGGAGGTGGGCACATGAGGAGGTGGGCACATGAGGAGGTGGGCACATGAGGAGGTGGGCACATGAGGAGGTGGGCACATGAGGAGGTGGGCACATGAGGAGGTGGGCACATGAGGAGGTGGGCACATGAGGAGGTGGGCACATGAGGAGGTGGGCACATGAGGAGGTGGGCACATGAGGAGGTGGGCACATGAGGAGGTGGGCACATGAGGAGGTGGGCACATGAGGAGGTGGGCACATGAGGAGGTGGGCACATGAGGAGGTGGGCACATGAGGAGGTGGGCACATGAGGAGGTGGGCACATGAGGAGGTGGGCACATGAGGAGGTGGGCACATGAGGAGGTGGGCACATGAGGAGGTGGGCACATGAGGAGGTGGGCACATGAGGAGGTGGGCACATGAGGAGGTGGGCACATGAGGAGGTGGGCACATGAGGAGGTGGGCACATGAGGAGGTGGGCACATGAGGAGGTGGGCACATGAGGAGGTGGGCACATGAGGAGGTGGGCACATGAGGAGGTGGGCACATGAGGAGGTGGGCACATGAGGAGGTGGGCACATGAGGAGGTGGGCACATGAGGAGGTGGGCACATGAGGAGGTGGGCACATGAGGAGGTGGGCACATGAGGAGGTGGGCACATGAGGAGGTGGGCACATGAGGAGGTGGGCGCATGAGGAGGTGGGCGCATGAGGAGGTGGGCGCATGAGGAGGTGGGCGCATGAGGAGGTGGGCGCATGAGGAGGTGGGCACATGAGGAGGTGGGCACATGAGGAGGTGGGCACATGAGGAGGTGGGCACATGAGGAGGTGGGCACATGAGGAGGTGGGCACATGAGGAGGTGGGCACAGACGCACCTGCCACTGAAGAGCACGTCGAACCAGCAAGCGAGGCCGTGCAGGCGGGCCGCCATGGTGGACTTGAAGGAGAGAGGTATGTCCAACTCGAACAGCTCTCCCTCCTGATGTTCATGCACACATGCACACATGCACGCATGCACGCATGCAGACGAGAGCTCATGCACATATGAAGACGTGAGTACATGCACATATGGACACATGAGCACAAGCACATATGCGCACATGCACTCATGGAGACGTGCAGACATGCACACGTGCAAACGCAAGCACATAGAGAGGCGAAGAGTATCAGTGTGAGGTGACGAGACGAGCGATGCAGGCAAGGACAAGAAAGCTGATATCAACAGAGGTGGCCACAACAGGGCATGGCAGCAGGGAGGACGAGGCAGGCAAGGCGCTGGACGAGCCCCCCAACGCAGCCACCCAGCCTGACTCCCTCACACAGGTCACCTTAAAGAATTCTCAAAAGTAATCCCGCAATGCCTGGCTCTCTCACACAGGTGCCTGCTCCACAAATGGCGTAGCAGGGCGGGCCTGGGGCGGGGGTGGGCCTGGGGCGGGGGGGGTGGGGCCCGGGGCGGGGGTGGGGCCTGGGGCGGGGGTGGGGCCTGGGGCGGGGGTGGGGCCTGGGGCGGGGGTGGGGGCACACCTGAATGGTGGTGAAGTCGATGGTGTGCGCGGTGCTGGGCGCTATGAGGATGCGCGGGTCAAACGCATCCACCACGGGCTGCCATGCCATGCCATGCCATGCCATGCCATGCCATGGGGACACATGCCGTTCGGGGTGCACGGAGAGAGGGAGGGACGGGGAGAAGGAGGAGCGGGCGAGGGGGAGAGGGAGGTTGAGATGGAGCGGGAGGCGTAGGGGGAGAGGGAGGTTGAGATGGAGCGGGAGGCGTAGGGGGAGTGGGAGAGAGAGGGGGGGAGGGATGAGGATGTGAAGGGGGAATCAGGTGTGTGAAGCACATAGAGATGGAGAAGGTGCAGGGAAGCGAGGGGGAAGGGAAGAGAGGGGGGGAAGGGAAGGAAGGGGGAAGGGAAGGAAGGGGGAAGGGAAGGAAGGGGGAAGGGAAGGAAGGGGGAAGGGAAGGAAGGGGGAAGGGAAGGAAGGGGGAGGGAAGCGAGGGGGAAGGGAAGGAAGGGGGAAGGGAAGCGAGGGGGAAGGGAAGGAAGGGGGAAGGGAAGCGAGGGCGAAGGGAAGCGCAGGTGCTGGGAAGCGCGGGTGCTGGCGTAGGCCAGAACGTGTTTGTTTGGGGCGCCTCAAGTCAAGAACCGCAAGGAGGCCCAGGCCAGCCCAGGCGTAGGCGAGGCGTAGGCGGGGCCAGAGCAGACCTGCTTTTGAGTTGACTCAAAAGCAGACTCAAGTCAAGAACCGCAAGGAGGCCCAGCCCAGCCCAGGCGTAGGCGAGGCCAGGCGAGGCGAGGCCAGGCCAGGCCAGGCCAGGTCAGGCGAAGGCGGGGCAGAGCAGACCTGGCGAAGTAGCCGTTGAGTGCGTCGCCATGCAGCGGCGTGAGGTCCACTCCGTAGTAGCTGCGCTGCTGCCAGAAGAGCGCCTGGGATGCGCGGAGCGGACAGGGGAAGGGGCAGGGGGTGGAGAGAGGGAAGGGAGGGCGGACAGGGGAGGGGTGGCGTGAGGTCCACACAGTAGTAGGCGTAGTAGCTGCGCTGCCTGCGCTGCGCTGCTGCCAGAAGAGCGCCTGCCCACCCGCAGCGAGACGAGAGATAGAACAACGGAGGAAGGGAGAGGGAGCGGTGGAAGAAGGCAGGAGGCGGGCAGGGAGCATGGGTAGAGAGGAGAGGGAGAGGGAGAGGGAGAGGGAGAGGGAGAGGGAGAGGGAGAGGGAGAGGGAGGAGGAGGAGAAGAGGGGAGAGATGCATATCAGCGGAGGAAAGGAGAGCAGATGGAAGTAGGGCGGGCGTTGCATTGCAGGTTGTGATGAGGCATGCGTGAACGGAGGCGAGATGGCGGCATGGAGAAAGAAAAAAGAGGTTAGGAAGCTTCACAACAGGGTCAACCATGCATGTGATGTGATGTGATGTGATGTGATGTGATGTGATGTGATGTGATGTGTGGTATGTACCTTATTGGCCATCTCCACGTATAGGTACTCGTCGGAGAACGGTGCCATGTGGATCCTGATGAGGAGGAGCGAGCAGCAAGACACGTGGCAGGGGACAGGGTTTACGGCCGGCGAGAGGTGGGGATACACGGGGGAGAGCAAAACGCACATGCTAGAATTAAATTTAAGAGAAAAAAAAAATAAAAAAGAAGGAAAAGAAAAGAAGGGAAAGCGAGAGGATGAGGAGAATAGGCACTCCTACCAGCCTGCCATGCCCTTTTCGGCCCTTCCAGCCCGTGATGGGAGGAGCACCTGTAGCACTCCAGCCAGGTGTGCCATGCGAGGTTTGAGGCAAGCAGGTTCAAAGAAACACGGATGGCACCTCACTGCCACACCGCAAGCACCACAGACAGCTAGCTCCCCAAAGCGGCCCAAATATTGCATCACATCCATGGCCCACACCCATGCCCCACACCCATGCCCCACACCCATGCCCCACACCCATGCCCACGCCCACGCCCATGTGGCACACCTGCCAGCGCTGGGGAACATCTTGCCGCCGGGCTTGAGGAAGCGGTTGCGCGCGATCACATACGTCTCCAGCATGCGCTCGTTCACCAGCAGCGTGCCTGGGGGGCAGTCAGGGGGCAGTCAGGGGGCAGTCAGGGGGCAGGGGCAGGGGCAGGGGCAGGGGCAGGGGCAGGGCGGAGGGAGAAGATGGGCAGGAGGAGGGAGATGATGACTCCAGCATGCGCTCGTTCACCAGCAGCGTGCCTGGGGGAGGGGGGGAGGTGCGGGGGGGGAGGTGGGGGGGTGAGGGGGATGGGGGAGGTGGGGGGATTTTGGGGAAGTGGAAGGAGGGGGTGATTCTTGAGCGTGCTGCTGGGCGCTGTTGGGAAGGTGTGGGGAAGGGTGAAGGGTGCGGGCGGGTTGAGGAAGGGAGGGAGAAGCGGCGGTTGGACGAAAGATTCGGAAGATTATGATGCGGAGGCAACCGGCTCGGGATTAAAACGAGGGTCTAGATTTGACAAGCGGAGGTTCAGAAGTTTTTGTTCTGAACCAGGCTTGCCAGCGCGAAGGTGTTGGCTGGCGAAAACCTGGATTTCGTGCGGACACTTTTCATCCGCAGTAAATGTTCGCCAAGGTTTAGGGTTTTGGGTGGCAATGTGCACCGTCGCTTTAACACGGCCGGAGATGAAACGGGCGGAGATAAAACGGGCGGAGTTGAAACGGGCGGAGATGAAACGGGCAGAGACGAATCGGCAGAGACGAAACGGGCGGAGATGAAACAGTCGGAAATGAAACGGTCGGAGATGAAACGGGCGGAGATGAAACGGGACTGACCCATGGGTTCGGAGATGAGTACGTCCGCCTGGAAGGGCAAGCGACACATCCTCCGCCTTGCCGTGTATTATCTGCGCTCAGAAGGGCGCGCACGCGGGGGGGAAAGAGGAAGATGAGCGGAGCGGGCGGGGAATGGGAGAGGGGGGAAATAAGGGGGATAGAGGGGGCAGCAAGAGGCCCACGGGGAGAGGTCGCACACGGGGAGGCGGCGGAGGCGGAAAATGAGGAGGAGTGGCCCGGGTTTAGGGGAGAGGAGGGGGAAGGGAGAAAGATGATAAGGAAGGTGCAAAGGAAAGACGTGGAAGAGCGCGAAGAGGAGAGCAAGGGTGGGGGGAGGCGGTCGAGGGAGGAAAGGAGACGGGGAGAGGTGGACATGCGGATTTCTTTTTAATGAGAATTCTCAAAAGTAAAATCCACGTGGCGCGCATGCGAGGGATGTACGACGAAGGGCGACGAGCGACGGGCGACGGGCGATGGAAGGGCGACTGTACGCGAGGGGCAAGCAAAACCGCATGCGACCCATACGTGAGCGAGTGACCACAAGTGAATGTGCGGAGAATGGGAGCGGGTGGAGGGGAGGGTGGCGAAGCAGGTGGGAGGGGACGGGAAGCGGAAGGAGAGGGGGGAGAGGGGGGGAGAGGGGGAGAGGGGGGACAGGGGGAGAGGGGAGACGGGGGGGAGAGGGGAGAGGGGGGGAGGGGGGGTAGAGGTGCGGACTTACAGTGATGTTGTGGCCGAGCAGGGGGTTGCCCGCCGCGAGCTTGGACGCGTGGTGCGCCATGTTGCTCGCCTCGATCGCGTACACGTGCTTCGCCCCCGCCTGCTCCCCCGCTCGCGCGCGCACGGCGCACAGCGCGCGGGGG